AAACCTGCAGACGGAAGTGCACGGGCTCCAGAAGCAAAAGCCAAAACACCCTACCCAGCACGCTCTACAGTCCACCCCCTAGGGAGGAGGGAAAGGGAAAGAAGAAAATAATAATAATAATAATAATACAGGAGAGGAAAGAAAAAGAAAAAACCCTACCCAAACAAAAATAATGACACAGATTAGAAGTGCTAGCATCTCCAGAAGAGAAGGACCCGTGCAAGAATTCTGGCACCATGAGAAATCGGAATGTAGCGACACTACCAAAGCATCACACCAGCTCTCTGGCAATGCTTCCTACCAAAATGAAAACTCAGAAATGACAATAAACAATTCAAAGCTCGGGTTGCAACGAAGCTCAATGAGATTCAAGGTTGAAATCAACAAAAGGAAACTTCTAAATCAATCCAGGAAATGAAGGAAGAGATAAACATCTTAATAAGAAATCAATCAGAACTTCTGGAATTAAAAAAACTCACTTAAGGAATTTCAAAATACAATTGAAACCTTTATCAATAGACTGGATAAAGTGGAAAACATAATTTCAGAGCTTGAAGACTGGTCTTTTGAACCAATCCAGTTAGACAAAAATAAAGAAAAAAGATTTTTTAAAAGTGAAGAAAGTCAGAATATGAGATTATGTAAAGTGACCAAACCTACAAATTACTGGTATTCCCTAGAGAGAAAGAGAAAAAGAAAACAATCTGGAAAACATATTTCATTTCTTGAAAATAATTCAAGAAAATGTATTGAATCTTGCTAGATGGACATCTAAGTACAATAAAGCCAGACAGCACCTGTGAGATACTATAAAAAATGAACATTACCAAGGCATATACTCACCAGACTATCCAAGGTCACTGTCAAAGAAAAAGCCCTAAAGGCACTAGAGAAAAAGGCCAGATCACATACGAAGTTAGCCCCATCAGGATAACAGTAGACGTCTCAGCAGAAACCTCACAAGCCAGGAGAGATTGAGGGGTCTATTTTCAGAATTCTTAAAGAAAATAAATCATAATCAAGAGATTCATATCCTGCCAAACTAAGCTTCATGACTGAAGGAGAAATAGAAACATTTTTCTAGAGAAGCAAATGCCAAGAGAGTTCATTACCACTAGACCAGTCTTACAAGAGATGCCTAAGGGAGTTGTAAACATGGAAATGAAAGAATGATACCTGCTATCATAAAAACACACTTAACTACATAGCTCACAGACCCTATAAAACAACCACACAATAGAAAGTACAAAGAAACCAGTTAACAATTTCATGATAGGGTGAAAAGCTCACATGTCAATATTAACCTTGAATGTAAATGGTTTAAACCACTTAAAAGTCACAGAGTGGGCTGGGTGCAGTGGCTCATTCCTGTAATCCCAGCGCTTTGGGAGACCAAGGCGGGCGGATCATGAGGTCAGGAGATCCAGACCATCCTGGCCAACATGGTGAAACCCTCTCTCTACTAAAAATATAAAAATTAGCCAGGCGTGGTGGCATATGCCTATAATCCCAGCTACTCAGGAGGCTGAGGCAGGAGAATCACTTGAACCCAGGAGTCAGAGGTTGTGGTGAGCCAATATCGTGCCACTGTACTCTAGTCTGATGATGGAGTGAGAGTCTGTCAAGAAGGGAAAGAAAAGAAAAGAAAGAAAGAGAGAGAGAGAGAGAGAAAGAGAGAGAGAGAGAAAGAGAGAAAGACAGAGAGAGAGAAAGAGAGAAAGAGAGAGAGAGAAAGAAAGAGAGAGAGAGAGAGAAAGAAAGAGAGAGAGAGAGAAAGAAAGAAAGAAAGAAAGAAAGAGAAAGAAAGAGAAAGAAAGAAAGAGAGAAAGAGAGAAAGAAAGAAAGAAAGAGAAAGAAAGAAAGAAAGAAAGAAAGAAAGAAAGAAAGAGAAAGAGAAAAAGAGAGAAAGAAAAGATCAGAGTGGCAAGTTGGATTAAAAAAACAAAACCCATCTGTCTGCTGTCTTCAGGAGACCCACCTCACATGTAACAACACCAATAGGTTCAAAGTAAAGGGCTGAAGAAAGATCTATCACACAAACAAAACACAAAAAAGAGCAGGGGTCACTATTCCTAAAACAGATAAAACAGGCTTTAAATCAACAACAGTAAAAAAGGACAAAGAAGAGCATTACAGAATGATAAGGAGTTCAACAAGAAGCCTTAACTATCCTAAACATATATGCACCCAACATTGGCTCACGTGGGTTAATAAAACAGATACTTCTAGACCTATGAAAAGACTTAGCCACACAACAATAGTCAGGGGACTTCAACACCCCACTGACAACATTACACAGATCATAAAGACTGAAAACTAACGAAGAAATTCTGGACTTAAATTCAACACTTGACCAATTGGACCTAATAGAAACCTAAAGAACTCCCAGCGTTTTGGGAGGCCGAGGCGGGTGGGCGGATCATGAGAACAGGAGTTCGAGACCAGCCTGTCCAATATGGTGAAACTCCGTTGCTACTAAAAATGCAAAAATTAGTCCAGCATGGTGGCAGGTGCCTGTAATCCCAGCTACTCTGGAGGCTGAGGCAGAATTTCTTGAACCCAGGAGGCAGAGGTTGCAGTGAGCCAAGATCATCCCACTGCACTCCAGCCTGGACAACAGAGCATGACTCCATCCCAAAAAAAACAAACAAAACACCCACAAACCAAAAAAGCCCTAGATCAGATGTATTCACAGCTGAATTCTATCAAATATACAAAGAAGAACTGGTGCCAGTTCTACTGAAACTATTCCAAAAAATTGAGGAGGGACTCTTCTCTAATTCATTCCATGAATCCTTCATCACCCTGAAACCAAAACCTGGCAAAGACACAATAAAAAAAAAGAAAACTAAAGGGTAATCTCAATGATGAAGACAGCCACAAAAATCCTTAACAAAACACTGGGAAACCAAATCCAACAGCACATCAAAAAGTTCACAATCAAGTAAGCTTCATTCCAAGGATACAAGGTCCAGCACATGCAAATCAATAAATGTGATTCACCACACAAAGAGAATTAAACAGAAACCACATGATCATCTCAATAGATGCAGAAAAAAAAGCATTTGATAAAATTCAACATCTTTCTTGATAAAAAATAAAAAAAACACTCAAGAACTAGGAATCAAAGGGAACATACTTCAAACAGAAGCCAGGGCGCGGCGCAGTGGCTCACTGCTGTAATCCCAGCATTTGGGAGGCCAAGGCCAGCAGATCACTTAGGTCAGGAGTTCAAGGACCGATCCAGGCACACTTGAAACTCATCTTTACTAATAATAACAAATGCCGGGCTCGGGTGTCCGCACACTGAATCTCGTGACTCAGAAGGGCTGAGAGCAGGAGAATCGCTAACCCAGGAGGCGGAGGTGCAGTGGTCCGAAGGTGCGCACCACTGTACCTCCAGCCTGGATAACAGAGAAGCCCATTCTTAAAACAAAAACGAAACAAAAAAA